AGCTAAGTTTATATTTACTGATTTACGTATATTTAATAACTCCATTTCAATTAGCAACAAAATGTTAAATGGTAAACTATTGTTTAGTTTCATCTGATGTGAAGCTGATATTTCACGGTGTTCCACCAGAATACAAAACGACTTAAGTTAGATCATATTTATCATGTAGCTGAATAATATTGTATTAACATCAGAAAAGATTTTGTGAATATTATAGTAATTTTAGTAGTTGAGATCATGAGTCAATCGAAGCTAGACCATCATGTAAAGCCTAAAAGTACTGGACAGTCGGTTCGTCCTATTGTGTGACTACCTTTGGTTAAGAGGTTAAGCGTTCACGCACGAGACTGGTAGGTACTTAGTTCGAACCTCACGAGGCGGGATCGTGGATACGCATTATTGAGGAGTTCTACAGTAGGACAAAACGGCCATTCAATGCTTCCAGGTTTCCCATAGTGGTCTAGCTTCGATTGAGTCATGATCTCAACTATTAAAATATTGTATTAGTTGTAAAAAAAACTAGAAAATTCTAAATTCAACCTCATGTAGAGTAGTAACTAAAATGAGTTATGATTATTAAATGACATATAATTGGTTACGCAATTAAAACTTCCATCCACTTATCCACTGAATCCAGATAACCATTAGCTTATGCAATAAGGTGAAGTTTTAATTCATTTAATATTTCACAGATTGAAATCATGAGTCAGTTGAAGCTCGACCACCATTGAAAACCTGGAAGCACTGGACGGCCGTTTCGTCCTAGTATGGGACTCCTCAGCAGTGCGCACCCACGATCCCGCACACGCGGGCTCGAACCCAGGACCTACTGGCTTCGCGCGCGAGCACTTAACCACTAGACCACTGAGCCGGCTGGTATCCAACGGTGTTAATGTCTAACTTCAACCAATCCACGAAGTTGCGCCACCGTACACCATTGTCTTCAAATTACTTTAAGGTTAATTTATTTAATGATGAGATTTTTTTCTCAAATGCATTAAACCATCGAACTCACAGGACAGCATATTAAGTATAATTTAGCAACATCAAAGGAATAGTTCCCTGAAGTTTCCTTAAGAGGCCAATGTGTTCATTTACTTACTAACGCCTGTTACCTCACTTGAGGCATTGGCCATCGATCAGGCATCGCCATACAATTCTGTCATGACCTCTTTTTATAGATGTTACTGTGTACTATTCACGGTTGTGATATCTACCTCCGATTTACAGAACCATATATTCTTTGGTCCACCCATTTTCGTTTCACCACGAGGATTCCAAGTTAGGGTTTGATTTTTGATGTAGTCTAATGGCTCATGAATAGTGCAATCTATAGATCTACAGAGTCTCTTCTTAGTTTGCTGCTGAGCTAACATCTGGTCTGTTGTCTATTATGGTAGGTTATTTCTGATGGTGTTTGTTAGGAGAATCTGGAGTATCATGTGTAAACATATAATTATAACTCCACCTGAAGCCGTTCTGGACTTACTGTCAGTCTCAAACACGGATAAAGGAGAACGGTTGGAGATAGGGTTAGCAATCCTATTTCTTAGAAGAGAAACTTGCTAAAATAAAGTCTTGCCAGGAATATCTTTTTTAGGTTAATTAGAATTGCGAATATGAATAAATGCATACCCATACTACTGAATACTGTTCATGTTGAAACAGGAGTTAATTAACAACTCAAACTTCCATCCCAACAATTAAATCGTTATAGTCCAATCTTTTCGATAATCATGTTAGAGACTCTGGATTACTGTTTTTGTTTTTCTTCTTTAAAGAGCGATGAACTGCAATTTATAAAAACCCAATTACTTTCATAAAATTAATAAAATGGATGAAATAATTGATAAACTATTGATAACAGTATAAAATAACTGGTTAAACGATTGAGTATACTACTAGTATTCGATCATAGATGTCTTCGAAGCATTGCTCCTATATCCTTGGATCACCGAGTAAGTAATGCAATTGTTAGGATACGCGTACTAAGTAAGGATGGCAAGTCAATTGATGAAGTAATGAAACTTCATCAGTTGGCTGGGACACGTGTTACTTATGCCCAACGACAGAGTGCCTCGATGTGCGATGTTTTACGGTGTAGGAGTAGGTTGGAAGAAAGCTAGGGGTGGCCAAACCAAAACATGGAAAAAATCCATGAAGTCACTGACAAGTGGATTGAGCCATGTTGGTAAGTGTAGACTACCTGGTTGGGGTTCGCGAGATGATAGCAACCGATGGTTAGAGACGTTGAATGACATGGCTCAAAATCGTTTGCAATGGCTCAAATGCATCCACTCTTTGTGTTCGTCCAAATTGTAATCTTCTGAATTCTTCTTGTCCCTTTTTTCTCTTTCCAAATTTGTTTCACTGGATTATATTCTTTGAATAACATCTTCAAACCCTAATCTTTTCGATTACTGCCTATATTCTTACTACATCTACCGCTGTGGGATTTGAATCGACAATTGTATCTTTGTGGTAATGTGATATGACAACCTGAACTGATGTACGTACGTACGTACAAAGTTCTACATTGTTTCTGAATGACTGACTACCCGATAAATGCATGAACTATTAGTTATGAACGTGATTAAATAGTTGATTGAACTCATTTTAATTAAATATTTATCACCTTGAATTAATTTGACCTCGGTCCCTCAACGTTATTCAATCATGAAATGCTGATCGATGTCTTTTATTTTGTGACAATTGATCTGAACATTCAATATTGACCTCGCAACAAGTTTCACTAAGCCAAATCACTCTCTCTGTTCATCAAACTTAACTCATGAGCACTTTATTTCGTTCTTAAAATACAAAGTGATTGTATATGGAGCACTAGAATGACACAGATGATAAAAACCCAAAACAATCAATCATTTGAAAAAATCGACTTCATTGAACACTATGGATGTGAATTTCACGTCAGTTAATAATCTATACAAACCTAAACTGATAATTCTTATGTACTAACTGGTGACTAACTTAGAGAGGAAATCTTTGAAGCTCTAGTAAGAAGCCATTACTAGTGGCGTCCAAATGTATCAGATGCGAGGAAGTTACCCATTGAAGACAATGAAAGATAGTCACTTCATTTCACGGATGAATTGAAGTTAGGATTGTATACCATTAAATACTGGTTAAAAGCTCGCTTGCGAGAAAGAAAGTTCAGATTCTGATTCCTGGTGAGGAGCCCTATACTAGAACGAAATAGCTATCAAGTGCTTTCAGGTTTTCAATGATTATCTAGCTTAAATCAATTAGTATTCTCGATAAATTTCAAAAACCTTCATAAACCCATGATGATAACACAGACATAATTCAAAATGACGAATGAATTATCAGAATGGGGGGTTTGTGGAGATTGTAGTATTTTGACAGTTGAATTCATGAATTGATTTAAGCTAGACTACCATTGAAAAATCTGAAGGCATTGAAAGGTTGTCTTGTTCTAATATGGGACTCCTGGGGAATGTACATGAACGATCTCGCACCAAAGACCGTCAGTTTCGCACACGAACGCCTAACTTCTAGATCACTGAGCCGACATTCTAGGTTCGAGTCCCTTAGTCCGGGATCATAGATGCACACTCCTTAGGAGTCCGATACGAAGACAAAATGGCCATCCAATGCTTCCAATCTTCAATGATGGTTTAGCTTTAATCGACTAATGAATTCAACTATAAAATCATTTTTATTAGTGGGACTTTTATTATATTCGTGTGAATACTTATTAACACTGAATTATACCTACTAGTGGAATGTATATGCATGTGTGTTTAACTCTAATTGGTATTTACCACCTAAATATATCAGTATTCCTCATTTGGTGTTTACAGTGAAATTCAGACTCAACATTTACATTTTTTTGAATGTTAATTCGTTTATCACTAAGCTATTATGTTCAAAAATCCAATAACTTGTTCGATAGGTATGAAATTCTGTGTAATCCCTCATATTTTACGGTTGTCATGATTTCCATTGCCAGTCACAAGGGAATATTGCTAAGAATTTATTACAAAAATAATAATTTCATAGCAATTAGTTCAGGACCCATGTTTCCCAATAAAGGCTATTTGTACTCTGTAAAATCAGTAGTGGGGGGATATAAATCTGTATAAATAACCTCTTATCTCGAGAAAGTTAACATGTTTATTCCAGTAATTATAAAATTTCAATAAGTCTCAGAGAATTAATGGTTGATATCACCCTATTTTACGAAGACGATAATGAAGAAGGTTTGAATGCAATCTTCTCTAAAGTAAATACATCACTTCAATAAAATGATGACTTATAGTCAGAAGTTATGTACTGAACAAGATTTTTAAAATGGTTGAATCATGTGTCGATGTAAGCTAGACCATCATGAAAAATCTGGAAGCATTGGATTCTGGCTCAGTGGTTTAGTGGTTAAGCGTTTGAGCACGACATCGAAGGTCCTGGGTTCGAGTCCGCTCGAGAGATCGTGGAGGAGGAGGAGGAGGAGGAGGAAGAGGAGTCCCATACCAAAAAGAGACGGCCGTCCAGCGATTTCAGGTTTTTTTACCGTCGTCTAACTTAGATCAACTCATAAATTCAACTATTAAAATTACTACAATCTCCACAGAAAACCCTATTCTGATCATAAAAATTTTTTCTAACCTAAATGGAAAAAAAGATCTAAAAGTTTCCCGAATTTTACAACAGTGATATATAACTGAGAAGAACTAACGATACTATTCTACTCATAACTAAACTCTTATCTTCACATTACTAATATAACTAAATAATGATAATTCTGATCACATCAGTTGACTAACTAATAGAGATGGATTTCCTGGAAGTTAATCAATTCCAGAATGAGACGAATCTTATCAGTGTCATTTTATGAAAGTGAACCATATGAACCGACTCTTTGATCTAAAGTATCCTGCTCACTGAAAGATCTAGTTATGTTAATGATTAAAATATTGAAAATAAAATAACTCATCTAACTAAAATATGAATAGAATATAAGGATGATTGAAATGTTCTATTTAGCTCTCTTATCATTAATATTGATCTGTAAGAAAGTTCTAGGTAAGCTAGAAACAACTTAATTATTCAGACCATATAGAAGTGTGAACATGGATGTGTGTGTGTGTGCGTGCGTATGTGTGTGTATGTGTTTGTGAGTCCAAAATTACTCTTTCTTTCTTTCATTCTTTCTATATTACTTTCATTCATTTTAGATGTAGTCATCATCATCATCATTATCATCATCACAAACATTTCTTTCCCTCAAATATAATTCTATTGACGAAACAAGAGCATTAACTCTGAACTTAAATTAAAAATGGGGAACAATTACATCTAAATTGTCTTTTCTTTCATAAACAACATCACATCATATACACATATATTAGTTATTTTCATCTGAAAGGTAGGATAGTAACATCTATTATTAATTCAATTGAATTCTTCCCTTCTCTCCTTTTTACTTCTGCTGCTACTGCTGCTCCTGTTGTTGTTGTTTTTGTTTTTGTTGCTTTGTCTATATTATTTCTTATTTTTCTATCTTTCAACCAATCAGAATTAAATGACGCTCTTCAATAGTGAATGTTGATTTTTAAGAGATTTGATTGGTTAAATTATTTCGTTAATTTATACATACAGATTTGTTATAGATTGCGGGGTTTGTTGTGAGGGGGGGTTAGGGGGTGATTAAAATACAAAAAAACCCTACATATTACCAAAATAATCAACTTTACTTCTTGTGTTCACTTATTTTGTATAAGCTAACAATATTGAGGAAATTTATTTCATTTCTTTATTTATTCCTGTGAAATTTTCATTGTGTTTTATATGATGATGATGAATAAAACTAGAACTGAAGAAGGTAAGTTTGATTTTTTTTCTTTTCTTTTCTTTTCTTTTCTTTTTAAATATTGTTTCTTTTTTTGAATAAAAATGTGGTAATTCAATTGATGACGACCATATGTAAGTGAAACTCGCATGATATACATTTAGTTCTGTAAAAGTCATAGATATAATTGCATGATAGATACAATCTAGAAACTAAATCCCTTCCCCCCGGTTAGGGATTACATAGCACTTACGTCCAAAAAGTTACATTATGATGTCCAGTTACTTAGACTAGTGACTTACTCTGCGACGTAGTCATTAAAAATTCAATTAATATTAGAGTCTTTATTATTTATTTATTTGAACACATAAATATTGGTACAAGAGGGCACCAAATATATATGCACCACACCATATTTGTGTATGCGGGCTGTGATACGACCCGGGTACCCAGACCGAAGCAGATGGTTTTCTTAGGGGGCCACTCCCCGAGCCTTCGAACTGAAGGTCTGATCCACAAGGAAGTGGAGCATCATAAGGAAATGTAGTCTCATGGAAGCCGGTGACCAACAATTGGTTCATACGCCATTTGTTCTTCCAGGATACTGGAGCCCATGTGCACCATTGGTTTTGAATCCGGTTAGATTGTCGGACATTCGCTTTTCATCCTCTCATTTTCGTAAACAACACCCCGTCATGAGAAGGCAGTGAGTAGGACTTCCCTGACAGAGGCTATATACGCGTGGCCATGTGAGAGCATTTGAAGAGGGAGGGCGGGTCCACCCCACTCTCGGCCGTACCAGGGCAGTTGGAGGTCTAGTAAAGATTATATTAATTGATGCCCAGTATTTAAAGAATAAACTTTATTTTCATTCACTAAATAGTAACTGACGTTCCATTATCATCCAGAGAAACTAGTTTATATTCATAATAACTGTAAAGTGTAATCTATTTCATAACTGTAGGATTTCCTCTTCCATTGATAGAAATGTCTATAAGAATTTTCTGTTGGATTTATCACACCTTATGGTTATTGTCAAACAATTTTTTAAAGTATAAGGCTGTAGAGACTGTTAAGTTTTTTATTGAAATCATGAATCGATTGATGTTAGACCACTATTGAAAACCTAGAAGCATTAGAAGGGCATTTTGTCCTGGTATGGGACTCCTGAGGAATACGTATTCATAATCCAGCTCACAAGATTCGAACCCAGGAGCTCCAGTCTAAGAGTGATTATATTTCTGAATTCATAATTCATATCATAGATAATTATTGGAAATAAGACAGTATTGTATAGCTGTTTATTCTAGTCTTGAGAAATTATTTTTAGTAATTCATAGTCTACTCTTACCATGGATGGAACTGAGAACTTACAGTTGTTATCACAATCACCTGATTGTTAGAGTTGATATAAGTACTAACTTTAGGCATTCTGTTATATGGGACAATATCAACTAACGTTAATTGCATCTTGGTTTTCAATAATTTCCCATTCGATATTAACTTTTGACAAAGACTAGATTTAATTTGAACCAATCCTTACAAATATCAATAATGAAGAAATACAAAGCTTTAAAAACAACTTCGTACTTTTTAAAAATATATGATTGGTTATAATGTAGCTTAGTGGATAATGAGTTGAACATTGGGAAGATAGTTATAAACTTCGAATCTTACTGTAAACATCAATAATACTACAGTTTAGGTGCATCCAGCTGACGAATCTCAAATAGCAATAGATATGTATCCTGAATTCCACTACTAGGTGAAATTTGTGTATTTTTAAAGCCTGTTACAATATGGACATGTTAAGATAATCTATTTGGGATCGCCGTATGCCAGCGGAGACTGACTAATTCCAATCTCTAATACCAAAGAAAGTAAAATACAGACTATTATAAATAAAATTAATACTAGTTACACAAGTCAGTAAGTAGTTGTACTTAATAACCTAATGGATAATGTGTTGAACTTTAAAGTGCATAGTACTAGGTTAGAATTCCAGTGTAAACATCAATATCGGGATACAGGTATTTCCAGTCGATGGGTCCTAAAAGTGGTCGTAAGGTGATTCCTGGATTCTATTGTTAAACAGATTTCAAATAGACTAAAAAATAATCAAATTTAGAAAATTTTCACTCTTTACAATCATTTTCTCCATTTGGACATCACATAATTATTAATCTAGAGACTCATCCAATCGAATGTAGATCATTGACTATTCGGATCTTATATAACGTTATAGATAATTTCATATACTACTCAAAATCTTCTTGGAAATACTTGTTGTCTAAATTTTATGGATATGACGTTAGGAGAAAGTGATACGAATGATATTAACCCAAGACCTTCGGTCTCGTGCACGAATGCTTAACCTCTAGATCACTGAGCCAGACGGCATCCAAAGGTGATAATGTCTAACGTTAAACAATTCACGAAATTACGCGACCATCTTCCATTGTACTGAGGTAGATACCTGTCTCTACCTGACATGGATTAGCTCCACTTGTAATGTGAACAACAATTCAGATGGATTCATTAAGTATACAACAATAAGTAAATTAGATTCATCATTAACATACAATAAATGTAACAGTCTGATAAAAGCCCCCTTTTAGAGTTAAATTAAATTTCTAAAGAAACATTTTTATAATATGAACTTCAGTAAATTGAAATTCAAATCTCATTTCATGGACACAAACGGTGAAACTATAATTTATGGACAAAGCAATCAGATTTAAGATAACAGGTCTTGAATTTTGCCGTGAAATTCATTCATTTGGCATTATAATTGATGTCAGTTCGTGATGAAAACCTTAAATCTAATTCCTCACACTGGTTCCTAACCCTTATTTAGCTATAGCATGTAGGTGGACATTCTCAAGGTCTCTTTAACGTCACTCAAAGGTCATTCATAAATTAAAGTCTTAATTTTATAAATAAAAAAAGAGGCACCAAATACATATGCACCACACAAATTTCATTCGATTTGTGTGAGGGCTGTGATACGGCCCGGGTACCCAGACCGAAGCAGATGGTTTTCTTAGGGGGCCACTCCCCGAGCCTTCGAACTGAAGGTCTGATCCACAAGGAAGTGGAGCATCATAAGGAAATGTAGTCTCATGGAAGCCGGTGACCAACAATTGGTTCATACGCCATTTGTTCTTCCAGGATACTGGAGCCCATGTGCACCATTGCTTTGGAGTCCGGTTAAAGCGCCGGACATTCGGTTTTCGTCCTCTCATTTCCGTAAACGACACCCCTGCCACGAGAAGGCAGTGAGTAGGACTTCCCTGACCATGGCCATGTGAGAGCATTTGAAGAGGGAGAGCGGACTCCCCTCACTCTCGGTCGTACCAGGGCATTTGGGGGCAATTTTATAAATAATACAAGTTATATGGTAATTAAAGCATTTTGTGTTCAGTCTACTTGATGTAATAATATCCGCTTTAACGTAATCCATTGATTATAAAAGGTGTTTGCTTATTTCTACTTTAGAGATCTGAATTGATTACTTTCATACTTCATCTATTTAATATTTTTCTGTTTCTTTTTGCAATACTAATTTTAATTCACAAATAGTTTACAAAACGATGTCATCTGGGAAATGGAAAATAGTCACTAGCGATCGTATTGACTATCGGTAGTGTTGTACAACAAATTGACTAAAAATAGAACTTTAGACAATTGGATTTGAAACTCAATAGTCGAAAGGTAATAAAAAAATGTGATCACTGTAACACCTAAATATCTTTGACTTGGCTCCAGATGAGATCATGACTGGAGATCATTGAAGAATCTTGTACTAGGATAGGAAATCTGTTCATTGTTCTTTGATTTTCAATAATTTTTCAATACCTGTCAATCTGTCTTTTATCTCTTTACATGGAATCTAGTCTTCATAATCTAATGAAATGAATTAAATTAACTTTGACTAAGTATGTCTGTGAAATTGGTTATAGTACAATTCTAAACTTTCCTATATTTGTATTAGAAGGGTTTTCTGGATATCGTAGTAATTTCAATAATTAAGATCATGATTCAATTGAAGCTGGATCACCTGGAAGCACTGGATGGCCATTTCGTTCTATTATGGAACTCCTTAGTAGTGCGCATCCATGATCCGGACTTGCGTGGAGTTCAACCAGGTCTGTTGTGAGATAGTAACTCACTGAAGAAAATGGTTGATGTTTCGCCTAATTTCGTGGATTAGTTGAAGTTGACACTAACACCATCGGATACCGGCTCAGTGGTCTAGTAGTTAAGCGTTCGCGTGCGAAACCGATAGATCCTGGATTCAAACCTTATCGATGCGGGATTGTGGATGTGCATTGTTGAGGTTTCCTATATTTGTTAAAGGTAATTCATTTCCAACTAAACCATGAAAAATTATAGACCGTAGACTTTCAGTGATTCTTAGTGTTATTTTCATTTGTTATTCAGAGTTATATGTCTAAGTAAGTAGATAATCAACTTGACGTAGAAGTTTGTGTTGATAATGTTGTTCAGAAAAACGATGAAAGCTCCTTGATCAAACCATACATCTCAGAGAACAAAACCTCATCGGAATCATGCAGCTGAGCTACAAATCTTCTTCATCATCTCAGATAATCAACTGTTTCTGATGATAAACATCAATGACGTTAAAAACATTAGGTTCTTTCTTAATTTTTGGAATCATCCCCTTCATAATTCTTTCATTATAAAACCAACATATCATTAAAACACACTTTATGTAAATAAGAGTATGAGGGGTATTGTCAGTAATAAGAGTATTAATAATGTGGACACAATTCGAAACCTAATCACTCTGGATAGTAAGTCAATATTACCAGGGTAGGTTTAACGTAAGAACAAACTGTTTTTGAATACACAAAGGGGGTTTGAATTTTCGTATGGCTAAGGCTTCAATAAACCTTAGTATACGCCCTTTTACTATTTTATACAAAATATCGAAAAGAATAAGATTAATATTTCAACTTAATCTCAAGTGTATAATCAAGATCAAACTTCAATTTCTTATTGTTAAAATCATGCACTGATTCTAGTTAGACAACCAATGGAAACGAGAAAGCATTGGATAACTGTTTCATCCTCATCGATATGTATCCATTGCCCCACTTGAGATAGAATTCAACTCATGGTAAGCGTTTAACTTTCAGAGTACTGAATCACCATTCAATCTTTTACATTCGTAAATAGACTAACTCATGATACTACGTAATCACTTTAAATCTAAATGAAAGTAGCTGGTTTACACTAAAAACTCATGAATTTCACTGGTCATGGCTTCTCACTAGAACTCAAGGAATTAATTTATAAAAATTCAATTCATCTTCACAAAGCTAAATGGATAACACGATGACGTTTAAGGCGAACGGTAGTAGGTTTGAGTTCCAGAGTGAAAATCAACTCTAATATGCAGGTAAATTCAGCTAACGAGTCCCAAATAGGACGAAACGCGCGTCAAACTGGATTCCACCACTAGCCACTATCCATCTTTGCTTAAAAAGCATGTAATCTTCACAAACTCCCAATACTAATAATATTGATAATCTTTGGTAACAGTTCTCTGTCTATAAAAAATTTATTTAAGCTAAAATTGTAAACGTCAGGAATTTTTAACTGAATAAACTAAAAAAGAAAGTGGGTCCAGTCTCTACAAGGATAATATTGTTAAACAAAACTAAGTGGATTTAAACTTTCTGATTGAGACCATGAACCAATTGATGTTAGATCACCACCTTTGGAAACCTGAAAGCACTGGACGGCCGTTTCGTCTTATTGTGGGACTCCTCAGTAGTGTGCATCCACGTTCCCATTACAAAAGCAGATGGTTATCAGAACTCAGTAGCTAAGTGGATACCACCATAGTGTTTGAAACGAACGGTACTAGGTTCAAATCTCAGAGTGAACATCAACTCTGAGATGTAGATATATTCGGTTGATGAGTCTCAAATAGGACGAAACGCATGTCCTGGATTCCACTATTAGCCATTACTGATTACTAATAATGGTATAAGTAGTATTCAGTATAGTGATACATGATTCTTTAAAGATCTATAAATAATGGTTACAGTTCATTATTACATCATAATGTAATTCATCAGTGTCACGAAACATTTATAATGAACGTAAAGATTAAAGGAGATGGAGTAAAGATTGATTAACAAATTGAATGGAAACAATTATTATATCAACAGTTGTAGAGTTTAAAGAAGTCTAAGATGTACACTTTAAAAGATCTTCAACTGTTCTATGAATAACAATCCAATTGATTTGTGGATACATTAAATAATGAAGTAAATAATTTAAAAGTTTTATTTGAACTCATTTATGTCCTATTGCCTAATCTATGCGTATTTAGTTATGTTATAACTTGTGCACTGATTAGTTAGCAGCGAATTATCGATCGGATCAATGACGCGTAAAACATGTGAGAACAACCTTATAGTCTTGATTGGTCCTTCTTTCCGCCTAACCCAGTTAGTTAAATCCAGAACGCAAGTCTCAGCCTCTGAGTTATGAATCATTATATATTTCAAGCATACTGAGTTTATATACCAATCAAACCGACCAACATTTGTACAAGAATTAGCCAGATATGGCTGTGAATGAGGGAGGTAGTAATCCATATACTGGGTATAACTCAAGAATGGTAAAACGTATAATAATGGTTACCATTCATTAAGTTTCTCGGGTCCCAACAAGTTATATGTTATCAGAAGTTGGTGTTGATTACACTATATATCTATATATCAACAACGGTAGTTTTTCTTTGGCGAAACTATAATTTATGAACGAACCAATCAGATTTACGTTAGCAGGTCTTGAATTTTGGCGCAAAATTCATTCATTCATTTAGTTAAATAGAGTTCGTGATGAAACCTATACATCAAATTCGTAACCTTAATCATTAACTGTAAATCATAATGCTAATTCTTCACACACTGATTTCTAACCCTCATTTGATCTTAGTTATTAGGTGTTGCCCAAAGCTCGTTTATAAATTATAGTCTTACCGTTTTTATTTTCTCAATTGCTAATTGTATAGCTTTCGCCTATTCTAAACATTTGATTTGTAAATAAAATTATAGGTGACTAAACTTATGTTGACAGATGTAAGTAGCATACAATACAATTATACCGGTGAATACTTTTGATGGAGTTTTGTTCTCAGACTTCTATCTGAAGTTTGTGCTGATGATGTCGTTCAGAAGAACGATGAAAGCTCCACGACCAAACCATCCAGCTCAGAGAACAAAACTCCATCAAAATCATCCACCTGAGTTACAAATCTTCTCTACCACCAGTGAATACTACTTATGTCGTTTCCCGACAGATTAGTCTAATCAATGAATAACTGTTTCATCTAACATTACACTTCATCAGAAGTATACTACCATGGCATCCAAGTTTCATATCTTAGTATGTGTTCTTTGCCTTTTTTAAAACTTCAGTCATTTCATACATGATACAGACCAATTTTCATTCGATTATATTGAAACTTGATTGACTCTTTAAACCAGGATTCCCACTGCTAGCCACTATCCATCATTGCTTACAAATAGCTTGTGAATTAAGGTAATATCGAGGCATACGCACAGTATGCACATATGCCAATAACAGACTGATCATTTGCAGTCTTAAACCTCAATGGGAAGATACAAGTCAAACAATACCAAGTGAATTCAGGTTTTTTTCATTAGTCGTATAATATTTATTTTAATATCAGAAAGGTATCGCTCAATTTCATGGAATAGTTGATGTTAAACATTAACACTGTTGGATGTCGGCCGGCTCAATGGTCAAGTGATTAAGCGCTCGCGCGCGCGAGATTGAAGGCCTTGGGTTCGAATCCCGCGAGTGGAAATTGCAATCATCATTTGTTTATGTAGTTTTTATTTTACTTTTTAGTTCATCAATATCATCAAAATATAATAAACAATGATACCCTGGATGAGATCAGTAATATGGATCATTCAAATAAAATTAATTCACCTAATACATCATTATCTTTTACATATACTTCATCAATGAAATCTCCTTTATTGAATCATGAAGATTCTATATATTCTACATTAATTCCTTCAATATCATCAAGAGTACAAACGAAATCATCAATAACAAGTTTACCATGTACATCATGTCCTATATCTTTATCCTCATCGTCATCGTCATCGTCGTCATCGTCATCATCATCATCATCATGTTGTTATTATTCAATATCACCTTCCGTTTCATCTAATTGTAATAATAATAATAATAATAATAATAATAATAATAATAATAATAATAATAATAATCCTATAAATACTACAGATGAGTACATTCAGCCTTATCAACACAATCATCAAATGATTACATCATCATCATCATCATTTAATCATTACACTATGAATGATAAACATTTAACCAATACATTTCAATCTAATCAATATGATACTCAACCATATTATAATAAACTATGGCAACAATCTAATGAAACATTCAATGAGGATACATATAATAATACTAATAATCAATTGAATAGATTACAAGCATGGTTAAACATCCTTTTGATGAATATGATAATCTAAGATGGAATTCACAATTGCTATGTAATACAATGAAAACATCAAAAGGGTAAGTTATTGATCTGATTTTAGAAAAAATGATCTTATTATTTATGATTGAGATCATGAATTGATTGATGTTAGATCATGATGGAAAACTTGGAAGCATTGGATGGTCATTTTGTTCTATTATAGGACTTCTTCGTGACAGTGTGCATTCATGATCTCACCTGTGAGATTTGAACCCAGGGCTTTCATGGATTAATTCCAACCCAAGTTAGACTAAAAATCAAACAGTAACTGTTTCTCCCAAGTATGACACTCTTTAGCGGTACACATTCACAATTACAGCGGAGAATTATATCATTGCAAATTGAAATTATTGATCATTTTTTCGTACATCGATTTGTATGTTAAAAAAAATTAACTTCTGGAATAAATGTTAAGTGATTGATTGTATTTGGATTGCAGCTAGTGTTGGAATCCAGGATTTACATTTTGTCATATTAGCGACTGACCAGCTGTGTGCTTCTGGATTCAAATATTGTGGATATTCATACTGAAGTTTGTTAGAACGACCCCGAAAAGCATGACAAAGTCTCCAGAGGCTCTAAAGAAGTCGAAGAGATTTCGTCCAGCCTACTAGAATATCACCGTGGCATGGTATGATTGGACAATTGTATAACTTTGCTACTTGCACATTAGCTGGATTATAATAAGACAATAGCCAATACTAAAAACTATAAAAACCCTCGTTTTTCTGTACGTTTTTGACTCTTACCCAGTATTCACTTCAAGTACCGATAGTTGTATACTGTATTCTGCCGTCGTCAAGCAGAGAACGTAACACTGACGGTGAGGTGTACTAATTACGATGCTAATAACTCTTACAAAAATAGAATGTTTACATGAACGTTAGAAAAAAACGGTATGAACAGTTCCAAATTAGTATCCTGAAAATCCTAACGCAACAAACGAACCCATATCACAAAGGACTAACTGATGAACAATGTAGCCCGCATTCCGATTTCATTATCAATTCTATACATAAATTTCATTTTGATGAGTTGGCTGGTACCACATTCAAATACTGGTTCAAGAAATATGGAGATTTATTCAAGGTCTACCTCGTTAAATTATATGGCGCCGCCAAGGTCAGAATGCACTTAAGAAAACTTGGCACTGTTGAACACGAACGTTACGGTAATTTGATCCTTCCATTGGGATAGTCAACAAACCCTTATTTCTAACCAAGTTTCACGTTAGTAGAAGTTAAATCAGTCTAACTTCAGCCAATTCGCAATATTGTGTAGTAAATCTCAATTTTCACTGGTGATACATATCCCACTAGAATATGATGTAAAGCCACAACATCCACTAATCTGCACTACTTTACACTAAAAATGAAGTAACCATAGGAGGTTTGTCGCTGCTGAGAGGGATCTTCATGAGATATTGAATATGGCGACTGGTGTTGACGCCATTTGATCTACCAGTCAGATATTTTGATTATTCCACGTTTAAAACCAGAAGTGAATGAATAGTATTCCTTCATTTTGTGATATGAACTATAAATTTTAACAATCGCCACAAACTCTCTATCCTCTAACTACCACGTGGTTACTAGTGACTGATTTTAGGAGGAAATCTCAAGAGTTATAATGAGGAGCTATAACCAGTGGAGTTCAACCATGTCGGATATGAGGTGGTTACCCATCACTTATGTCACGAAGGTTCTAGGTTTAATGCTTGATGGGGTCTTGGGTGATGGCAAAACGACTTTTCAGTTCTAACTGGTCTCCAACAGATGTATAACTAAGGTCAGTCCATATTTCCAATTGTATGACAAGATTCATTAAATGAAATTTTGTTCGAAGGTAAGTATGGACTAGTATCATTAAAAAATTGTAACTTTTGTCATTAGGATCTCAAAATAACTTCTCATCTAAGGAGATAAATCACTGATAGTATTCTTTACCTAATTATAGATCATTTTCTACAAATTCTGAATCGATATTAACAATCCCACCAACCATATCGACAGTAGGAACAAAAAATGGAATCATATTCAATCCATTAGAATCATCATCATCATCATCAATCTCTCCCAACACTATTGAATGTATCAATATGAAACCCATCAGTAATAACAATGATATAGAACATTTTAATGATTGTGAATTAAAACAATATCAGAATAATCATCGACAAAATACCCTATTTAATCAACCACAACATTCACATCAGAATTATAAATTTATTAAATCATCATTTGACTACTTAAATAATAATAAAAGTAGTAAGCAAATATTGAATACAGAAGAAGCAAGTATCAAATTAACAAATAATAAAACAGAATCATATCAACGTACAATGAAATATAATAATGGACATATTAAAAAACCATTAATGCATTTATGTTATTTATGAAAGAAATGCGTTCACAAGTAATAGCTGAATGTACATTAAAAGAATCTGCTGCAATTAATCAAATATTAGGTAGAAAATGGCATGCATTATCTAGTGAAGCACAAGCAAAATATTATAAATTAGCTAAACAAGAAAAAGAATTACATCAACGTTTATATCCTGGTTGGTCAGCTAGAGATAATTATGCTACACAAGTAAAACGACGTAGTCGTGCTACTAAAATGAATCGTACTATAATGACAACAACAACAACAACGACGATGACAATGACAACGACAACGACAATCATGAAAGCATCAACAACAATACCGACAATAGTAACAAATTCTACTATACTCGGTAACAATTATCATTTACATAAAATACATTCTTCATATGTTAACCCGGAATTATGGTGTCCGGTTAATCATAATAACAATAACTATCATACAAATAACAATGACATTTATAATAATAATAATAATTGTAATTACATGCAACAATCCTTAGATACAAATCTTGAACATGAATACATGACATCAAATGGATTATGTCATTCAACTGTTCCTTTGAATAAAATCGATACAACGACGACAACAACAACAACTACACCTACTACTAAGACAACATCAGATTATGAACGATTGTATAGTTTGAATCAACCCACTACATTCCCATATTCACAGTTTAATCATAATAATAATTTAAGTTATCGTAATCTATTAACATTGAATAATTCAACTGAATTGAATACTATTCAATCTTCTAGTATAAATCCATATTCTCAATTACAATCTATGAATAAGTCAATGAAAGTTGATTATGCAATAGATTCATTAATGGATTTAAATTATGGTAAATTTTGCTTTTATAACGTGTAATTAAAGTTTATATTGTTGTTCTATTCTGTAAGAAGTCTCATCAGCCTTTGTGGTTTGGTGTGTGTGTGTGTGTGTAACGAAATCCTTTAGGGATCAGTTCAACTGGCCTTCAGTCACACTTCGGTTTCCCACGATCTCCAGTCAACCTGAATGGCAAGTTAATGTAGATCCTCCGTCTCTTTACGAAGTTGAAAAAGCCATACGAAATCTGAAACGAGGGAGAGCAGCAGGCCCTGACAGGTTCAACCCTGAGATTTTTAAGGATGGTGGTCCAGTATTAGCAGTGAGATTAACCGAGGTTAGGTAGAATTTGGGAACTAGACGTAATCCCATCTGACTGGTCTCAATCACTGATTGTGCCAGTTTTTAAGAAAGGACAAAAGTCCTCTTGTGACAATCACAGAGGAATCAGTTTGACTAATATAGTGTCCGAAATATTAGCTTCAATAATACTTCGACGCCTAACCAAAGCTCGTGAAGAACAGACTAGAGAAAATCAGGCTGGTTTTCGACCTGAACGTGGTTGTATAGACCAGATATTCACACTATGTCAGGTTCTAGAACACAGACACACACTCAGACGCCCCACAATCGTAGTATTTCTCGGCCTTAAGGCAGCATTCGACTCTGTTGATCGTGAGGTTCTATGGCAGTGTTTGTCACTGAAAGGAGTACCAAAGAAGTACATCAATCTTATAAAGGCTCTCTACTCGAACACAACTGGTAGAGTGAGAGCTTATGGCGAACTGTCATCAGAATTGATTACCCCAAGTGGTGTTCGTCAGGGCTGTCCACTCTCTCCATTCTTGTTCAAATTTGTCGTCGACGTACTTTTAGAGATAACACTTTCCTCGTCTAGATTTCCAGGGTTGAACTTCTACCGGGAGATTCACTTGTTGACTTGGAATTAGCCGATGAAATAGTTCTATTCGGTGAAGACGCTGACAAAATGCAGTCTTCTGACCACTTCAAGCAACAATGCAAGGGTGTTTGGGATGCGACTCCTCCTCTCGAAATGCAAAATGTTGCTTCAGGATTGGGTTGCATTGACACCCGAACTAATGGTAGGAAGTGAAGTAGTTGAGCGTGTCGACCACTTCACTTATCTTGGAAGTCTCATCAGCCCTTGTGGTCTAGTGTGTGACGAAATTTCAGCACGAATACAGAAAGCTCGACTAGCTTTTGCCAACTTGCGTCATTCATGGTGTAGGAGAAACATGGCCGTTAAGAGTATAGGACATTCGTAGGTTACTAGTATTCGATTATAGGTGTCTTCGAAGCATTGCTCGTATATCCTGGGAGTTGTTAGGAAACGGATACTAGGTAAGGATGGCAAATCAAGTGATGAAGTAGTGAAAGTTCATCAGTTGAGATGGCTGGGACACGTGTTACAAGTATGCCCAAACACCGACTGCCTCGATGTGCGATGTTTTATAGAGTAGGTTGGAAGAAAGCTAGGGGTGGCCAGACCAAAACATAGAACAAATCCATGAAGTCATTGACAAGTGGATTGAGCCATATTGATAAGCGTAGACTACCTGGTTGGGGTCCGCGAGATGATAGCAACCGATGGTTCGAGACGTTGAATGACATGGTTCAAAATCATTTGTAATGACACAGGTGCATCCACTCTTTGTGTTCGTTCAAATTCTAATCTTCTGAATTCTTCTTGTCCCTTATTTTTCTTCCGAAATCTATTTCACTGTTTTATACTCCTTGAATAACATCTTCAAA